AAATAAATTAAAAATATAATCATACACACAGAATACATGAATCAATCAAATTAATTATATTTATATTATATTTTTAATAATTAAACTAAAAGTGTATTAGAAATATGTTAAGTATACAAATTATTTTCCTTTTAAAATAATAATTATTTTTTATTTAAATTTGTCTTAAGTGAAAACATTAAAATTATATTAAAAAATTTTATAATTTAGACGTTAACTTATTTTTTAATTTTATTTTATTGTTGTTGTTTTTAATATTGTTACTATTAATAATTAATTTTTAAAAAATATTCTGCTGGAGCAGGTCCACATTTCTTTGGTTGGTGTTAACAAAATGAGGGTATCTTGGATTACTGATGGTGATGCTCCTTCAACTGTTGAATATGGCACTTCTCCACGGAAATATAAGTTTTCGGCCACCGGAACTACCACCTCATACCGGTACCTTCTTTACAAGTCCGGCCAGATCCATGATGTTATCATTGGTCCGTTGAAACCAAGCACCGTCTACTACTACCGTTGTAGCCAAGATTCATCTCGTGAATTCAACTTCAAAACCCCACCATCTCAATTCCCAATCAAATTTGCAGTCGTAGGTACGGTAACTTCCAAATATTTCATATTCAAATCTCCCATTTTATTGTTATATATAATTCGAATATTTTTACTAATTTGATTAAAGAAAACGGTTATTAATTATTTTTTAACAGGTAAGTAAATCCGCTCTAAATAGTTACTCGGATTTCTTATTGTTAAGTTGAATGCACGCTATTAATGTTGAGTGCCGTATTGGTCAAATTCAGGCGATTTGGGTCAAACGGAATGGACAAATTCGACTCTCCAACACATTGGACAATCAAACTACGATTTAATGCTATTACCAGGGGACTTATCCTATGCCGATTTTTGGCAACCTCTATGGGATTCATTCGGCCGCATCATAGAGCCGCTGGCCAGCCAACGGCCCTGGATGGTGACGGAAGGCAACCATGAGATCGAAAAAATCCCCTTGCTTCACAGCACGCCCTTCACCGCCTACAATGCAAGGTGGCGGATGCCATTTGAAGAAAGCAGCTCCACTTCCAACCTATACTACTCCTTTGAAGTAGCCGGCGTTCACGTTATCATGTTGGGATCCTACACGGATTTTGATCCTAACTCCGATCAATACAAGTGGCTGCTGTCTGATCTGGCTAAGATTGACCGGAAGAGAACTCCGTGGATTGTGGGGAACATCCACGCGCCATGGTACAATTCCAATACTGCTCATCAAGGGGAAAGCGAATCGGATGACATGAAGAAGTTCATGGAAGAATTGCTTTATAAGGCTCGCGTGGACATCGTCTTTGCAGGGCATGTTCATGCTTATGAACGATTTGTAAGCTCCCACACCTCATTTTTAGTGAAATTCAATGATTTTTAAAGTATAAAATTGAATAGAAAATAATTAATTATATTAATTTTACACTCTACTCTGTAGTTTTGCAATATAGGCAATAAAACATGAAACATTAAATCATTAATTAGGATATTCCACTTATTGATTTGATAGTTTTAGATTGCACAATATATATATATATATATATTTGTTAATAGAGAAATTTATGATTTTTTAGCTATTTGTGATTAGTGATAAGAGTTTAATAGTGCAACATCCGGTTATTGATTTTAACTAGTTTGGCCAATTATTTTTATCTACTTTCTTGCAATAGTTTGTAATGTAATTGTTTTATTTCTTGGTAGTTGATGACAATAATTTTATAATCAAAGAATTAAAAAGATAATGGGTATCAACATAAATGAGTTTTATATGTTAAAATTAATCATATATCTATGTTATGGCAGACTCGTGTTTACAAAGGAAAGGAAGATAATTGTGGCCCGATTCACATTACGGTGGGGGGCGGTGGCAATCGTGAAGGCTTGGCGATGAAGTGAGTTGGTTTTCAGAAGAAGTTGAATCATTTTCTTCTATTACTTCCTTTGAAGCTGTACGGTGTATGTTTTGTGCAGTTACATTGATCCGAAACCCGAGATATCGCTGTTCAGAGAGGCAAGCTTTGGGCACGGGCAGTTGGAGGTGGTGAATAAAACGCATGCGCTGTTTACATGGCATAGGAACCAGGACGGTGTGGCGGTTGTCTCGGACAGTGTCTGGTTGAAAAGCCTCTCGTCAGACCATGCTTGTAAAGTGTGAAGTCTCTAGACCCAATTCTAAAGCTACACATTGTCGGAATTTCATTACCACACGCGCACATGGGGAACGAATAAAATCATCAAGAAAGAAAATATATTCTTGAGCGCGCTTTTACATGTACGATGATCAATTTAAGTGGAAAATCAACCATTCTTGTTATCTAATCCATTGATTAAATTTGTAGAATAAAATGATGCTCAACAAAGTGATTTTAAGTTACATGGTTAGAACTTGAAATTTTAA